GGGCTCTGGGGGCCTGGCAGGATCAGCCCCTGCCTGCAGCAGCTGGAGTCCAGTCAGACTGGGCAGTCAGTGATGCTGTGAAGGGCACACACCGGTGCCATGTGTGTGCCTTTGTTTTTAATTACTTAATTTATTGATTTTAGAGAAGGGAGGGAGAGAGAAACATCAATTTGTTGTTCCACTTATTTATGCATTCATTGGTTGATTCTTTTTAAAATATGTTTCTATTGATTTTTAGAGAGAGGGGGAGAGAGAGAGAGAGAGAAACTTCAATCAATCAGCTGCCTCCTGCATGCCTCCCACTGGGGATAGAGCCCACAAGCCAGGCATGTGCCCTGACCAGGAATTGAACCATCGACCTTTTGGTGCATGGATGGCATTCAGCCAACTGAGCCACACCACTCAACCAATCGAGCTACACCGGCTAGGTCATTGGTTGATTCTTGTATGTACCCTGGGGATCAAACCTGCAACCTTAGGGTATTGGGATGATGCTCTACCCAATTGGGCTACCTGGCCAGGGCTGCCATGTGTGTTCTTGCCTTCTCCTCCCCATAGACTATCTGCTCTTTGAGGGTAGGGTCAGATACATCTTTTGGACCTCTTCAGCTGTAATGACCATGTTGCCTGAATTAAAATTAAGAACAGGCCCTAGCTGGTTTGGCTCAGTGGATAGAGCGTCGGCCTGCGGACTGAGGGGTCCCAGGTTCGATTCCAGTCAAAGGCATGTACCTTGGTTGCGGGCACATCCCCAGTGGGGAGTGTGCAGGAGGCAGCTGATCGATGTTTCTCTCTCATCCGATGTTTCTAACTCTCTATTCCTCTCCCTTCCTCTCTGTAAAAAAATCAATAAAATATATTAAAAAAATAAAGTAAAATTAAGAACAGGTGGATTGACATGTATGAATATTCTTATGAGGAAAACAGAACAAAATATGTGAAGTCTGTGCTGATTTGAAAACTTCAGGAATAAGTTGGCTATTCCACAGCATATAACAAAATTCTTGTACACAATTAATATAGTCACACAAAAATTGGTTTGTGACTATATTAATATATATATATATATATATTCATTTATATTAATGAATGCTTAAGCAGCTACGATTTCAGTGACCTCCAAAAGTCCCCCAAGTTCCCTAAGGTCTGAGCATCTGAGTTCCTAGCATTGAAGTGACTGACAGGATTAAGACAGGTGAAAGGCCCAGGTTAAAAATAAATGCATGTTGCTCAGGAGGAGACCCACATTCACTCGTTTGACCAGGTTGAACAGATCAGCAAGTGTCATCTTACAGCGAGACAGAGGGCCCCCAGGGACAAGTGTCTCCATGGAGCAAGAGGGGGTTGGCGAAGTCTAGACTTGCCAGAATGGGGCAACATGGAGGAGACCTTGGGCCACTCAGGGAAAGGCAAAGTGTGTTTTGGAGTAGAAGGGGTCTCAAAGGGTAGCTGTGAAGCTTGGAGAAGGACCTCTTGCAGAAGACTGGACTCTGTCCAGTTGTGCCCTCACTCTTTTGGGACAACCTTGGGCTGGGAGATTGAGGAACACTGTGAGATTAGATTCCATGCTCTTTTTCTCCCCACCCCCTAAAAGTGCTAAATATGTTAAATGACTTGCCCAAGGACACACAGCTGTTTGGTGGCTGACCTGGGACTCAGAGCCAAGTGTTTGTGCCCCTGTTAATGGCAAGCTTCCAACCTCAGTCTAGATCAGCGGTTCTCAACCTGTGGGTCTCGACCCCTTTGGCGGTCGAACGACCCTTTCACAGGGGTTGCCTAAGACCATCCTGCATATCAGATATTTACATTACGATTCATAACAGTAGCAACATTACAGTTATGAAGTAGCAACGAAAATAATTGTATGGTTGGTTCACAACATGAGGAACTGTATTTAAAGGGCCAGAAGGTTGAGAACCACTGGGCTAGATGAACATCAGCCATAAAGCCAGAGTGTTAGGACCAGTCAGGACAGGGAGTGGAGGCATCTTGCCTGCCTGTGTCCTCACAGTGGCCAAGGTGGTGGAAGGTGATGTCTTAACACCCTTCCACCCCCACTTCCCCTCCTGCCCATGTCTGTCAGCAGTGCTGGCTCTGGAATAATGCCGTCCCAGGACAGGCAGTGGGAGGGCTGCCCACAAAGGAGTGACTCCAAACAAGGACAGGGTCTAATCCCATTAACTTCCTCTAGCAATTAACCCAAAGCATCAGGAGGTCCTTGTCCCTTCCGTAACCACTTCTTCCTTTGTTCTAGTCTAACTAGGCTTAGTTTCAGCCCTCCTAGTCTTTCACCTAGAAATCTCCTTCAGGGGCTCTGTACAGCTAAGTAGACCCCACTTCATCTCCCAGCCTCTCCCATCAAGCCCCTTGGACTCAGCTGGGTGCTCTCCTAAGTCACCCTCTGTGTCTCCCCACAGGGTCAGGCTGTCCCTTTTTCATTTGGCTCTGGCTGTCCTGGCACCAGAAGCCTTTGATGACTAGGCTGTGGGGACCACTTCTGCCTTCACCTCCCTCCACTCAGCTTGGTGCCCACATTGCCACCTTGGGTAATGATGAGGTTCTTCCCAGCCTGCTAGTCTGCAGGTTCTCAGCACAGTGTGCAGAGCAGGAGCTTAATAACACTTTGTGACTTCACAGAAGAAACGAGAGAAGGTTTTTGGTTCAAAATGAGAGGTGGCTATTTGAAAGTACTAACATTGGGTCCCTGGGACAGAGCGAGGGCCTTCAGGAGTGCCATCTTGGAAGGAAACTGGCAACCTCCTGAAGAAGATAGGAAATGCCTGGAGACTCTGTCTCAGAGGTCATTGATTTATCAACACCACCAACCTCATTTCCATTAAAAATTTTATTACATCAAAAGGAAAAATCCCAAGCCCTCCACAAAACCAACCAACCAACCCTCTAAAACCTAAACCAACTCAAAGACAAATTATTACCCAGATATAACTAACTCCCTGCTCCCCCAAACAACCTTACATTAAAAAATCCAAAAGAAATAGATATGCCAGCTTCAAAAATATTTATCCAAAAAGTAAGGCATCCACTAAAAAAAACACACAAAACAATAAATTGAAGGTGGGAAGGAGGTTGGAGGAATGAGAAGAAGGAATAAGAGGATGGTCCCCTGACCCTCCAGGGGCCAGCCCCAGTCTGCCTGGAGTCCAGTCAGAGGAACCATAACTCAGACCAAACCTGGCATCTCACCAGGGCAGGGTCAGGCAGGCTGGGCAGGAAGCTAGGAGCCAGGAGTGGGCCAGAGGGGCTCCCTGGGTGTTCCAGTGTAATCAGATGGGATAGGGAATTGGGGGAACTCCTGCTTTGGGATAAAAGGATCCTAGTTCTTAGCACAACAGGTGTGGTGGGAAGGCTCAAGGACTAGAGCAAACACTACCTCCTTCCTTTGGAGCACAGGGAAAGGCCGCCTCGGTCAGTCCTCATACCATGGACACAGGCTTTCCTGAGGACCTCCACAGAGGGCGCCTTCGGCCACTGCCTTCTCACCCTGCCCTGGAGGCCATCCAAGGGCAGGACAGTGGTGAGACCCGAAAGAGGGAAGGGTTGTTTGAGTTGGGGGAGGAGGGAGGAACTGGCCTTCAGAACACACTTTCGCCCCAGATGGCACCTCTGGGGAGACGGGGAAAGCACCCTCTCTCCTGGGAAAACTTTTCATACCAGGTCTGCCCTGAAGGTTAGAAATAAGGGAGTATTTTTAGGTCCAGTTCTTGGATGGGAGGTGACTTAAGGCAGATTTGGCTCAGGTTTCAGGCCTGAAGGGCTTGGGGAACCTTCACACCCAGTCCTAGGTTCAGGAGCCAAGGTCCAGAGAGGAGGAAAAGGGCACGATGGGGGCGCAGGCAGTGCTGGCTGTGTGGTATGTGCTGGGAGCATAGCTGCTGGGTGACAGGTGACTGTTCCTTCAGGGGGGTGGGGAGGGAGGAGGAGCTGAGCCGCTTTGTCATTAGGAGAGAACTTTCTGGCTTCAGGAAGCTTTGGCACCCAGTTGGGGGCAGGATGCAGGGGACAGGGACAGGGCTGGGTTTCTGCAATCTGAGCCTTTCCCAATCTGTTCTACAGGCCCGGCTGGGGGTCATGGGAGGGATAGTTCCCCTGCCTCATTGGTCCTTAGCTCAGAGGGGGTGCGGGGGAAGGTTGAGTAGGGGGTTGTAGGGGTAGGAGTAGTGTCCTAAGGAATCTTACTCTGTACAGGGAGCCCACACTGGGGTGGGTAGAGGCTTGGGGGGAGGAGTGGGGAAGAGGGCAGAGGATTTCTTGGGTCCCTAGTGAAGGGAGGGAATACAGGTCTCTCCAGATGACTTTTAATGGTGACAGATTTGCTCGAGTCTGTCCCTCCCCAACCTACTCACTGTTGCTTGTTGCTGCCACTTTTCTCAGAGCTGAGGCCGTTGGCTCAGGAATGGAAAGAGAAGGCAGAACTGAACTCAGGCTCCTGAGGAGGCAACCAGGGTGTGGGCCGGGGAGGAAGGCCCGTAGGGCGCTCCTGCAGCTCCACTCTCCTCTAACAGCTCTGAACATGAGCAGCCCTGGTTTGGGGCACAGGTCCTGGGGGTGAAGGGCTGGTTCTTTGGGTACAAATGTCAGTGTCTTTGTTTATAGTTTCTCACCACTCACCCCCAGGTCCTCAGGCTCCTGAGGAGGCAACCAGGGTGTGGGCCGGGGAGGAAGGCCCGTAGGGCGCTCCTGCAGCTCCACTCTCCTCTAACAGCTCTGAACATGAGCAGCCCTGGTTTGGGGCACAGGTCCTGGGGGTGAAGGGCTGGTTCTTTGGGTACAAATGTCAGTGTCTTTGTTTATAGTTTCTCACCACTCACCCCCAGGTCCTGCCCCTGCTTGACAGAAGCAGGGGGTGGGGGGCAACCAGGGTGTGGGCCGGGGAGGAAGGCCCGTAGGGCGCTCCTGCAGCTCCACTCTCCTCTAACAGCTCTGAACATGAGCAGCCCTGGTTTGGGGCACAGGTCCTGGGGGTGAAGGGCTGGTTCTTTGGGTACAAATGTCAGTGTCTTTGTTTATAGTTTCTCACCACTCACCCCCAGGTCCTGCCCCTGCTTGACAGAAGCAGAGCGGGGTGGGGGGGGTTGGGGGGCCCCAGGCAAGGAAGGAGGGCAGAAAGGGGGTGAAGGAGGGCGGAGGCAACTGAGAGGGTCCTCAAGGCTGGGGCTATTTCACTGAGTTCTTGTCTTTGGAGGCAATGGGTTGGTTGATGGGCTGCCACTGCTCCTCCGTGTTCTCATTTATCATCTCTGTCTCCGAGCTCTCTCCGACATTGGGGTACACAACCACACACATCTTCTGGCTCACCAGGGTTATCAACTCTGTGGGAAGAGGTAACACAAAAACTAGGTCAGTGCCAAGTGTCCCACCATGTTCTTCCCTGCTCTTCTGTCCTGGCTTTTGCCTTAGCAGAGCCACGCCTGCCTTCAGAGAATTCTCCCTCCAGGGGATGACCCTCACCCACCTTCTATATCTCTGGGCAAGATCCCAGTTTTCCACCATCCCCTTGCCCACTGACTACCAATTCCAGGGTCTCCACTGGTCTCCACCCAGCCCAGGGCAGCTCTTGATAGCGATCAAGTTGCCTATTCGTGCAGGCCTAAAGTCTGTGTGGAAATGGCAGTTGTTCTTTCCTCAGAGGTACCTGGGAAGGCACCTGCCCTTTCCTGCCCACAACTCCTTCCCCAGAGTTCTGTGGCCCAGCCTTGGCCTCCTGATTCTGGTGGGGTTCTCCTGCCAGACTGCTGACCACTCTGTCCTAGACCAGGAGGCTCTCCTGCCACCCAGAGCCTTCAACTCACTGATGCAGTTATGGACACAGATGGGCTTGTGTTGCCAATAAACACCCAGGAAATAGACAGGCACTCCTGTCAGCATGATGGCCAGGCCAATGCCACACACTACGGGCTCCGACCACAGGCTGAAGACCAGCAGGAAGGCCCAGAACAGCAAGTAGATGATCGGGAACAGCAGGCTGATCTGTGGAGCAGAGGCGTGGTTAGCTGTGTGGATCCCATGGCCCCAGGATCAGGGCAACCGCCCTCTTCTTCACCCTCAGGGAGCACCCGAGTGCAAAGGCTAGGCTTCACTCAGCTCTGAGGCTCCCACACCCTGAGCATTGATAGGGCAATGCTGTGTCAACAGATGTTGGTGAACTTGGGCCGTGGGACAAGAAGAGGAGGGGGAATCTAAGGAAGGAACAATCCTCACTGCCTATCTCCTCCCTCCTGGGTAGGATCAATCAAGGCCTTGTCACCCAGGCCATGTGCCTGTGGCAGCCTGAGCAGCCCAAGGGGACTGGGAAGCTTGCTGGTACATTGGTATGGTATATGCTTGCTGAGACCCTAAGGTGGACGAGAGGTGGAGAAATGAATGAGGGGCAAGGAGGAAATGACCTGGGTCAGGCTCCTTGCCCCTCACCCACATCTAGGCAGGGCCTTCATCTGGGCACATGGCAAATACCCATCCCTCTCCAGGATCAGTCCCAATTTGTTTCTCTCAAGCAATATGAAAAATCTTCCAAGACCCAAGAAATCAGGAAACCTAGTATAGTATAAGGAAGTCTGGGGCCTTGACTTTATTCAGAAAGAAGCACTGCTCTCTGGGCTTCATTCCTTCTTGTTAACCACAGGTGGGAGTTCCCAGTGGAGTCCTCATCAAGCCTCTAGATCAGCGGTTCTCAACCTTGGCTGCACATTAGAATCACCTGGGAATCTTTTTAAAATCCTGATTTCTGGGCCTCATCCTCCGGAAATTCTGTTTCTTTGTTATGGGGTGGGGCCACAACATTAGTAACAAAGAAACAATTTCTGGAGGATGAGACCCAGAAATCAGGATTTTAAAAAGATTCCCAGGTGATTCTAATGTGCAGCCAAGGTTGAGAACCTCTGCTCTAGATTCAACTGCCTTTCTCCTCCATGTCCTCTCCTCCCAGGGATAGTGCATGTGGTGGGGAGATGGGCTTCTTCTACCTCCTCTTCCTCTAGCAGGCTTCCTGAGAGTGGTAGAAAGTGGTAGTGGAAAACAGAGATTTCGAGAGCCCTTGATTCTCAACTGGAAGAATCTTCTAGAAGCATCTAATCTCCCTCTGTTTCCAAAATAGGATTGTTCAAATAATTCAGGATTATACTCTATTCCTCCAATTTGCAGGAATACCACAGCACGATGGCATATTTCATTCTGAGCAACCTTGTCATTTCCATCACAAAGTTATTTCTTGTATGAATAGGTTCAGTGGGTACCCTACTATGTGTAGAGCCACAGTAGTTTAAAAAGAAAGGCTCACTCATGGATGGCTGGAGCGAACTGGGAGGCTTCAAAGAAGAGGAGGTGCTTGAAGCTTATGTGGAAAATGGTTAGAATTTGGATAGGCAGATGGGAGGAGGAAACTTGTTCTGGGATAGGAACATTGCACAAGTGGATCTAGCTATCTGGAGGGACAAGGAGGAGACTAGCCAGACTAGAGGGTCCAGGGAAATGTTGGAGAGATAAGGAGCCTTGAACAATCAGGTGGAGTTTAAGACAGCCATAGGAAACAAAGGAATGATGCGATGAAAATAGAATCTAAGCTAACTCATCTTTTCAGCTACAGTTTGCTGTGGTCCTACCCCCAGCAGAGAAAGGAAAGAAATGGCTGTCCCATTCACACATGGCTCTGCTTCCCAAAGGGTCTGTTACCATCATAGAGATGATCTGTGATCAGCAGCTGAGAACAGGGTGATTGACAAATCTGTGCTGCAGCTAGAACCAGAAGGGGCGGGGGAGGGGGGACCTTCACCGGGAGGTTTTCCCACCTTGATGGGGCGGGGGATGTCAGGCTTCTTCCAGCGAAGAACTATCTGTCCAGCAATTGTGACCCCGTAGAAGAGATAGTTGATGAAACCCACATAGTTGATGAGTGTGTATATGTCACCGGTGACCAGCATCAGCAGGGTGGAGATGCACTGTGGGGAGTGGGAGAAACATGTCAGTGATAGAAAGGGTATTTGAAGACTGGAGCTGTTTATAGGTAAGGACTGTGCCCTTGCTTCAGGCAGATGGTGCCATTTCATAAAGGAGGTCTCAAAACAGAAAGTGTATAACCTCCCCTAGAAACTCAGGTCATTGCTCACACCTTCATTGCCAGGAAGTTCTTTTTGACTGCAGGGGTGATAATCAAAATATTTAATCATTGGTGTGGCATGGGCATTAACCAGCCAGAATAGAATTTGGCCAAAAATAACTGGATTGGCCACACGGATGGCACCCGGTTCCATGTCCACCCTCGTCTGATTTATATTTCTTCCTTGGGTATAGCTCTAATTAATTTCTTTTTATCACTTTAGGGAAGATTGTTGACTGCAGATTAAGGCTTTATCTTGCCTTTATCATCCTCCTCTCCTGTCTGAGTCATCTAATTTATTTGTTCCTTCCTTTTCTTTCTTTTTTAAACATCATAAACAGTTACAGCACTTATTAGGTGCCAGGCTCTATTCTTCACATTCTACAAATAGTAACTTGTTTAACCCTCATAACATCCCTGTGGAGTTTTCTTGATTGAATCTACTTTTCAACTTCAAAGTCATCTCAGTGGCTCTCGGAACAATGTTCTTCAGCTGCCCCTTAATATGTTAAGGCCAATAGAAGGTTCAGTTTTCCTGTGAGATCTGAGGTGAAAATAATTGAGAAGATTTTAATGAATAAATAAGCCAGGTTCTTACTGTACTTGCCTTGTAGTTATGGTGCTGCACCAGTGGCTCAAACTGAAAAAAGTCTGTGGCCCGCTGGGAATACTGAGTTTTCTCCAGCCACCTTTCACAACTAACCAATCATGATGACCTTTCTGTGCCCAACATTCCGAAATTCCCTCTAATGTTATACAACGAATGCCCTTGACTCCCAAAAGCTCTACTATCCTAGTCTAACAGCTTCTCTGGTGGACCACAGTAATTTCCAATATTTTATTCAGGATCCAGAAGGAAAAAAAAAGAACTTATAAGGCTCATGGGGATAAATCTTTGTTTCTTCTTTTTTGCTCTCTCTAAAGGATTCTACTCTGGGGTAATTTTACTCCCATTTCCCCCCACATCCCAAGTTTCCTTTTCTCCATTTTCAGTGTACCAGTCTTCCTTTCTTTATTTTCCTTATTGGTGTGCTCTTAACACTGAATCTGTTTCAGTGATATTTCCCAAGAGACTAGCAGAGCCTCCTGGGGAGGCTCAATGGGGAGGGGTGGGAGTGTGTGGTGATCGGCTGGGAGCAGAGACACAAAGTGGCAACCCTGTGGGCAACAGGTGCAGAGGAGAGCCAAAAAAGACGTTTCTTTGGGAGGTTATAAAATCTCGAGGAAGTCACTTCATTCTTACCCAAAAAGATGGGAGAATGGAAATGACCTGGCCTGAGAGCCTTAAAGTCTTTCACAACTCAGGTTCTTCCCTTGCTATATCTCTTGATATCAGTAAAGCCTATGCAAACCATTGCCAGACTGTCTAGGACCAGTGAAACCCAGGAACAGAAGAAGGGTTACAGGGGTGTGTATGGGAGTGTGAACTTCCAGCTCAGAGCAAGCGCGAGGGGAAGGGTGTGTGTAGGACTAGCAGAAGGAGGGGCCCTTACTGTGAAGAGCAAGGCTGGGATGGGGGTGCAGCGCTTCACGTGGATCATGGCCAGCACGCTGGGAAGGTGGCCCTCCCTGGCTCCAGCAAAGAACAGCCTGGCAGAGAGAAAAGCAGATCAGCCTGGGACGGCCCTCAGACTACAAAAGGAAGCTCCCTCCCCAGACCAGGCTCCCTCATCCATGCCCCCACCCCCGCCTCTGCCCACGCAGGAGCATCACCCCTCCAAACAGATAACCGCCTTCCCATGCACATCTTTCAGCCCACTAGTCACAGGACCCACAATCTCAAATGCAGATGCAGGCAAACTGGAAGCAGCCCGTGGATCAGTGGATGGATCCTGGGTGTGTGGAGACCCTGAGTGTGGCCTGGGTGGCTTGGGGTTACTGATGGTTGTGCTGTCACTCTGTGGGTCTCTCTTAATGCTAGAGTGCTGTTGTGGGAGTGCTTCTCTCCTTTGCCGAAGGCCTTAATCCAGCGGTTCTCAACCTGTGGGTCGCGACCCCTTTGGCGGTCGAACGACCCTTTCACAGGGGTTGCCTAAGACCATCCTGCATATCAGATATTTACATTATGATTCATAACAGTAGCAACATTACAGTTATGAAGTAGCAACGAAAATCATTTTATGGTTGGGTCACAATTTGAGGAAGTGTATTTAAAGGGCCAGAAGGTTGAGAACCACTGTCCTAGAGCTTGTGGATGGTGGTTACAAGTCTGTCTACAATTGTTGAAACTCATCCATCTGAACATCTATGGTCTGTGTATTTTATTGTATGTAAATTGTACCTAAAAATTTATATCTTTAAGTTACTTATTCTATTCCCAAAAAGCCATCCTAATGAAATGAATAGAGAGTTAGTGAAAGGTGTATATAAAAAGATATTCTGATAATAAAAAAAGGGAAATATCCGAAATGCCTAAAAGTAGGAATTGATAACATTATGGTATATTCATTCTATGGAATATTATGTAGTCATAACAATGTTATAGAAACAAAACTGATTACACCCAAAGCCAGTTAGGCTGAGCAGATAGAGCGTCGGCCTGCAGACCAATGGGTCCCAGGTTCGATTCTGGTCAAGGGCATGTACCTTGGTTGTAGCTCCTCCCCTGCCCTGGCCCTGGTAGGGGCTCGTGCAGGAGGCAACCAATTAATGTGTTTCTCTCACATAGATGTTTCTCTCTGTCTTTCCCTCTCTCTTACACTCTCTCTAAAAATCAGTGGAAAAATATCCTCAGATGAGGATTAACCAAAACAAACAAATAAGCAAACAAAAAACTGGTTACATGAAACATACTCACACTATAATGATAAATGAAAAAAGCAGATGATTCCATACTTTATGATTCCAACTAATTGAAAAATTATTTATGGGGCATGTACAAAGATACATTATTATGCCAACTAATTATTTCTAGGTAGTGGGATTATGAGTTATTTAAATTTTCTTCCTTAGATGTTATAGAAGCAATTTTAAAATTCTAAAATAGAAAAAAAATTGCAGTCAGAATAAACATTACATTTTAGAATTAAAAAATTAAACTTTTTATTTTAAGATAATTATAGATTCTCATGCAATTGTAAGAAATAATATAGAGCAATCTTACATATCATTTACCCAGTTTCTCCCATTGATAACATATTGCAAAACTATAGTATAATATTAAGACCAAGATATTGATATATTAGAGTTATTTATAAAAAGAGGAATTTTAACATAAAAAGCAGGCCTTCTTCCCCTTTCCTCTCCAAAAATAAAAGAGAATACTATAAGCTATTAGGAGTCATTTATATATTAGTGTGAATTATACCACTTTTTTAAAAAAATTGATTTCAGAGAGGAAGGGAGAAGGAGAGAGAGATAGAAACATCAGTGATGAGAGAGTATCATTGATTGGCTGCCTCCTGCATACCCCACACTGGGGATCGAGCCCGCAACTCGGGCATGTGCCCTAGACCGGAATCGAACCCAGGACCCTTCAATCTGCAGGCCGACACTCTGTCCACTGAGCCAAACTGGCAAGGGCCACTTTTCCTTTTTTTCTAAGATTTTGTAGGGAAAGAAGTGCTTAAGGGATAAGAGGAAGGGGAGGATGTGATGGAGACAGAAATGCATAGAACCAGCACACTGGTGTTCTAAAGAGAACTGTCATTTACTCTGTAATTTGTGCATGGGGGAGAGTGAAGCTAAAAGCAGTAGCTCATCAGACGTGTGGGAGTTGATTATGGTCCCAAATACCCAAATTTTCTTCTCTGAGTGAAAATTTTCTTATTCTTTCGGTTTATTTTAGGGTTGACTCTGTGTTCACATCTGATGAATGCTAAGTGAGTACTTGACAGTCACTAAATAGCTTATTTATTTTAAAGTAGAATTTTGGATATTTAGAACCAAAGACTGCTGAGAACTGATTTTGTTTGGTCATTCTCTGCAAATGGCATTAGGACCTTTTCATAATGTCATGGTTTGGAGACATACTATAGGGAATATATTTCCTTTGAGTGCCATCAGTTGCCATCATCAAATGCCTAGGCCAGTGCCACTAGTTTCATGCAACCACATGGCATTGGCCCTCTACAATGCAGCCTCATGCACCCAATTGAGCCCCAGGTGCTCTGCGGGCCTCATCATGCACATAGCCAGGGTCCCACATTCAGATCCCTCCTCCATAGGCAGCCAGGACCAAGTGGGGTTGTCCAGATCCAATAGCATTTGCAAGTGGTGGTGTCAAGTTCACAAGTAGCAATCCTTGCCCAGCTAGCTGACAACGGAGGAGACAACGACAGTAAGCATGACACACACCCACACACACTCCTACTCCTCAGGAAGGATCATCTTCTCCATACTCCAAAACACGAAAGAGTAAGAGAAAGAGAGAAGGAGGGAAAGAGGAAAAAGGAAAGAAGGAACTGGAAGATGAGCAGAGGAGGCCTGGTGGGTGAGCCGTGCCTCTGAATCAGAGGCTGATCACACCAGGCCACATCTCCTGCATGCACACACAGCTGTACCACATGCATGCAGACCACTGCTTGGCCTGCCTGAGGGACAAACCCCACTCTAAAGTGACTGTAGCCAGTCCCTCTCCTCCAATAGATCCCAGAGAGCCTCATGGGTCATTGCTCTTCCACCGCTCGCCCTTGGCTGGGGCCTCCAGGTGGCCACTGCTCCTGTGTAACACGAGGTTGCTTTGGGTGTGTCATAGGGTCCTGGGGAACAGGGATACCCCCACTCCCTTTTTCCTGCCTGGATCCTGAAAACATGGCACTCCTTTGTCATTCCACGGGAACTCCTTTCTGACGTGATGGGTGGCTTTAGAAGTAGCTGAACTCAGGAACTTACTCCTTTGGCTGTATCTTTTGAGTAGGACTGTGCCCCGGGTGCAGAGGGGCTTTCTAAGAACCCTGGGAAGACCCCTTGAACTACACTAATGGAATTTATCCAGCATCTGCTGTTCTCAGCAGATATATGGAGGCGGGAGATGGGGCCTCCTGGGCCCACTTGAGTTTCTGGCTTCCCTAAGAGGGATGAGGGACATAGCTTTAGACAAATGCTTTCTTTTCACTCTTTCCCAGCCCTCTCGTTTCACATGAGTGAGTCCACTTGGGTCTCAGGGGTGGCCACTCGAAGACCTCCCACAGCTGCCTGTCTGTGGAGCAGAGAGGAGCCTGCGCCCACAGGGCATTCAAAGATGATCCTATCCCACCTATAGACTGGGACCAGAACTTTCCTGGGAGGCCAGCCCAGAGGCCCCAGGCACAGGTCCCTCCTGATCCCTTTCGGAGTGGGGTTCCTTTCTAGCCAGCACAGCCTGTTTCCAGAAGGGTGGAAAAGGGGCTCTGGAGACAGTCCTGCTACCAATTGCAGTCCCTGACCTGGGACTGCGTCAGGCAGCCTGGGCCTCCTCAGCCTCCTGCTCCTACTGAAATGAGGTGGAATGGGGCTTTTTACCACTACATGTGAAGGCACATACATCATAGGTAACCACATAAGCAGCATCCACCTTTCCACGTCTACACTGATACACACATGCCCTCATGTGAGCAATCACCCTTTGCAAGGTCACTGCCCAGGTGTCCACACAGACTCTGCTGACGGAGACAAGCCCCCTACATATACACAGAGCAATATGCACAGCAGTGTGGCCCCTGGCCCTGAATGGACCCGGACAGCACTCACCGGGAGGAGGTGAAGAGAGACCCATTGACTCCTCCAAATGTGGACAGGGCAACAGAAATGGGCATGATCCAGGACATGACCCCCAGGAGCTTCTCTCCAAACGTCTATGAGAGAAAACAAGGGATGAGCAGAAAAGGAGAGGTTATATCTCTGCACCTGAGCATCACTGCTAGGAATGCTCCCTCCCAGGCCCACCCTTACTGAGTCTCTAACTAAGCCCCTGAGAGGAGAGATGGTGTTCATGCCCTGTCCCCCATCCTATATCACCACTTCCCACAGAGACCGCTACACAGCAGGGAATCAATAACTGTTTTGGGCTAGCTAACTGAAGGAAGCAGTGATTGGTAATAATACCAATACTAATGCTGCTAATAATGAACTAACACTTGTTATCCTTGATTTATGGATGAAGAAATTGAAGCCCAAAGCAATTCAGTAGAATGCCTAAGATTACACACCCAGGACTGGACACCAGCCATGTGAATCCAGGCCTCACTACATTGTACATTGGTGAGTCAGGCTGGTTAGGGCTCCAATCTCAGCCCAAGATTTAGGAGCTGTAAGACCTTGAGCAAGGTTCTTAATTTTTGAGCCTCAGTTTTCCCATCTGTAATTCATAGGGTAAGAATTTCTAAATTCATAGAACAAATTATATTGGGGGGAATGATAAGAAGAGGCTATTAGGTAGACTGAGAAAGAAAAGGTGGTAAAACTGTAGACTAGTCTTCATGTATGGAAGGAATATAAAATATCAGGGGACCAGTGTTTCTATATTCTCTGAGCAAGTACACACTTGATCTATAGCATATTATGGGGAGTGATTGTTTAAAACAGCAATTCTGCTGGGGAAGGCTAGTCTTGGAACACGCTGCCGTGGGACCCTGGAGGGCCTCTTCCGTTTAGTCTTCAATGAGACAAACGATGACGTTGTTTGGCAGGGAGAGGTCATGGCCCAGGTGAAGCCAGGTGAGGGAGCAGCATGTCTCCTAGGTCTTTCCTGGATACCAAGGACCCCAAAGCTTTGGACCTGCATGATCTCTTTCCCCAAGAGCACAATCCATCCTACCTCCTAATTGTTTACTGGCATACACTTTTCCCTGATGAGTGAAGGAGTCAGGTTGCATGCTTTCCCGAGGTGCAAATGGAGGCAGAGAGAAATGGCATGTCTTGTGCAAGACTGCATCTTTCTGGGGAGAAGCCTGTCTCCTTTATACAATCATCACATTTAGAGTTTAAAGTGCCCTAGATCAGAAGTCAGCAAACTTTTTCTGTAAAGGGTCAGATAATAAGTAATTCGGCTTTGTAGGCCATACAGTCTCTGTGGTAACTACTCAGCTCTGCCATTGTGGCTCTTCTAGCTTCAGCGTGGCCATCAGCTTGCTTCTGGGCACTTAAGGTGTGGTTTCTGCCCTAAGGACTTGGGATGACTTCCCATTCCACAAATCCATGGACCAGGGGAAAGTGGGGGTAGCTCAGCAGGCAAATCTATGTCAACTTTCCTGGTTTGAGTGACTGTGAGTTTGATTTCTTACCACAGCGACTGCGTTTGACGCCAGCAGCTCCTGGGGGGACATTGCAGTGACATAAGCGACATTGGCAAAGACATACACAAATGTGACCAGTGGGATGGAGATGAAGATGGCTCTGGGAAGGTTCCTGTAGAGGGAGAGGAGGTGAGAGGGGGAAGGGCTGGCACCTGGGACCATCTGCCTCATCATGAGGTCCAGGGAGTGCCTTCTGTTTTGCTGCATGAAGCTGACCTTGCAGCCTTCTGTGATGTTTCCTCCTCCTGAAGGGGTGGGGGGAGGAATTTATCTCAATATGGGCACGATAATTTAAAGGAAATGAAACAGCTTAGGCTGGAAATATATTCCGCGCCTATTGATTTTTTTATCGACCAGAATTTTCACAATGCACCCCTTCCCCTGCCTCAAGACACAAAGACCCACCTGTCCCAAAACAGGTGAGTAAGAGGCCTGGAAACCATTCAGGGCACATTTCATTCTCTAAGGCAGTAGTGTTATCTCAGCACCATTTTCAGCCTTTAACCTACTCTGGTAGAGTCACCAGGTCATTTTTCTTCTCCTGGCAGACTGAGTGGCAAGTGGTCTAAGTTCCTGGGAAATAACTGTTTCTTCAGGATAGACCAGGTCATAGTCAGAATTGGGGATGGGAGGAGGAGAATTGGGTAGTGGACACCTAGTTCCCTCTTTCCAGTAGCAGGTGCCTCGGCCTTTCCAGGGAGAGAGGAAGAGCTGGGCTATTTCAACTCACTTGTAGGGATCAACAAGCTCCTCAGTCACGTAATTGAGAAAGTTCCAGCCTCCGTAGGCAAAGGAGCCCTGAAGGAAAGCCAGTGCAATGAGGCCGATGCTCGGTTCTTGGAAAGTCTCAAATGCATTCTTTGGCTCCAGCCAGAAGTATTCTCCTGTGGACACAAGGGGCAGGAGGCTGCTCAGCGAGACCAGTCAGAGGCCTGGCAGCCACTGGCCTCCCTGGTCTGGTTTCCACCACTCCCTGCAGTGATGATCCAGCTCTTTGTCTTGTCTCCAGTAAGCCTCAAGAATTGGAGAAGTGGGACCAATAGGAGGAGGGAAATATGGCTTGAGGACCTCCCAAACCTGTTAACCATTAGTTCAATGGAGGCTCAGATTCAAAGCACAGTTCTGAATGTTCTTTTTTTACAAAGCAAAGGTACTTGGAAGGAAAGGCCAAGGGAAGGTCACCGGGAGGGCAAAGTAACTTGAGGGACTAGCAGGGTAAATCGGAGCGGGCCTGCTGGGATTTGGAGAGGCAGGATTAGAGCCCTTGGCAGTCTCCTGAGCACTTTCCCTGATATTTAAATTTGTACATTTCCTTAAAGAAAGTGTCAAGAACAACAAACATTCAAAACATAAGCTTCCATAATGCTATATTAGCTCAAACCTGCTCTGCTTTCTTTGTCAAGCTCCAACAGTCTCTAAGGGGTGTGTTTGGTCTCCCTTTTCATGGCATAGATTTGCTGAGGACAGGGACCTTCAGCCAAGAGTGTATACATTTCCTTCCCATCCTTTAGCACAGTGTCCTGCACACAGAGGTCCCTCCAGAAAGGTTGCTGACTGAGGTTGTATTGAGACACAGAGTAACTGCTCACACTTTACTTATTCATTTGTAATCTGGCATTGGGACAGTAAATAAGGAGATTAGAATGATTAGGAGAAAGCACTGGGGCCAGATTAGGAGGGACTCTATTTTGAAAACACAGCACAGTGATTTCCTTAAGTCTAAATTCCTGAAAACAATATAACCTGCTAAAGAACTTAATCCAACTGATTAAAATAACCGTGGACATTTTATATAGCAGAACCTTAATTATGTTTCCTGGAGTGAAAATCCAGGCACCCACACTGCCTTCGGGCTTGTGGGCAGATGGGAGGTCTCCTGCTTGTCATCTGACTTTCTCCAGGAGGCAGTGACACTGGGCAGAGCCTTGTGGTGCTTCGGATCCCATGGAAACCAAATACAGACTGAGGCTTGAAAAGGGCCAAATCCAGTGGGGAATGTTGGCAAGGGCCCCAGGAACGTAGAGCTCTCTCTTGTAGAGATTATGAATAATTTAAAAACATATAAAATCTCCTCCTCCGTCCCCCCATTTTAAGATATGGACAAGATACAATATAAGATGCAGGTAGCTTCCCTGGGGTTGGGGTGAGAGGGCAATAAGAGTCCAGAGATCAGGGGTCTTCAGAGTCATGAGGTCAGCATGGAAAGACTGAATCTGCCAACAGGCAAGGCACATTCTACTTCCTGTGGAAAATGGTTTCTCTTCCCCTTTGTTAAGCAAGTGAGGAAGAGAAGTCATTTAAGGCCAGAATTGGGAAATCTCAGGGTGGGCACTCACCCAAAGACAGTATGAGGGGTGGGTGGGTGTACATTCAAGGGGCGGGGCCCCGTGGTTTCAATGACACTCACCTTTGCCGATCTGTACAACCCCCATGATGATGATCAGGGCCAGGGCCAGGAGCTTCCCAGCTGTGAAAATATCTTGAACCCTGGTGGCCCACCGCACACTGGAGCAGTTGACCCATGTGAGGAGCACTGAAATGAAAGACCCCAAACATACCATCAGGGGCCATCGTGAAGCTGCAGGACACTCTGCACAGAAGCAGAAATGTTCTTTGCTCCTAATGATGGAATGGTAGTAGACGAGCCAAATCTGCAAGCTCAGCCCCAGTGTCCAGAAACTTTGGCTAGGCTAGTGGGTTATGAATGGGGATTATATGCTACAAATTAGAGTTTGGTCAGAATATGCCCTGCCCAGGGCTGGAAGCCAGAAGTAGGCATGGAAGTGTGGACCCTGGCTTTGGAGGGGAAATCAGCAGCTGATCAGGGCACCATTGTAGGTTTTGTTTTCAAGCCATTGTATATTCAAGGAGCGTTCTGAGCAGCTGGTGGGATCCTTGATTTCATCTTTCTGAGCCTGGTTTTGGGGCAACAGAGGTTTAGGGGAATTGTTTGTTACTTAGGTTTATCAAGGCATTATACATATAGAATACAATTTGTTTTTTAAGTGTGCAATTTGATGAGAGTTGACAAATGTATTCAGTTGTTTAATCACTACCACACTTTCTATTTCCAACACCCTTGTATGTTGTGTTTCTTTGACATCAGTCCCTTCCCCTACTGGCAATCACTAATTTGATTTCTGACCCTATAGTTTTGCTTTTTCCAGAATGTCACATAAATGGGATCATACAATGTGTAGCCTCGTGTCTGGCTCCTTTCACTTATCATCATGCTTCTGAGATCCATTCATGTTGCTACCTATATATATTAGTTTGTTCCTTCTTATTGTCAAGTAGTATTCTGTTGTATAAATGAATCAGTTTGATTTTCCATTTGGCAGCTGCTGGACATTAGGGTTGCTCCCACTTTTGGTTATTATTAACAAAGCTGCTATGAACGCTTGCACAGAAATCTTTAAGTAGATTGTAGAGGTCTTTGAATGGGGTTTTCATTTCTCTCAAGTAAATACACAGGAGTGGGATTCTGGGCTATATGGTAAATGTATATCAAACTTTGTAAGAAACTGCCAAACTGTTTTTCTAAAGTGGCTGCATCATTTTGCATTTCCAACAGCAATGTGTGCAAGTTCCTATTGCTCTACATCATTGCCAGCACTTACTACTGTTGGCTTTAAAAGTCTGGCTATTCTAATAGGTGTTAAGTGGCATTTTGTTACAGTTTTTTTTTTTTGTCTAAAGTTTTACATGTCTCCTTCTCCCCTAATTGACAACCGCCCCCCCAAGCCACTCCCACCCCGGCAAGCCCCCCCC